TAGGGAGATGTGAAGATCAAGGAGGATCTTTCATTTACAGAAGTACAGAGAGAAGCCGCAGTTTGGTCCAAAGACTCCAAGTGGGAGATTGTTGGTGATGTGTAGTCATCGGCCCAAAGTGGCCCACTTGTAGACAACTGAGAGTTAGGAGACCAGATTAGGGTTTCGGCCGGCCCAAATGGTTTTAAGCCCAGTTTGCTATAACTTGTCCAGCAAGGGTTAAACCCTAATTAGTTGTCTATATATATGATCTCCTGTACTTGTAATCATTATCACTCAATAATACAAACCCTAGTTGCCCCTGTGGATGTAGGTCAGATTAGACCGAACCACGTTAAATCTCGTGTTCTTTATCGCTTTCTTGCTTTATATTCGTGTGTGTGCTTTTGTTCTTAACATGTCTTTCATCTTATAGTGCCATACATGGAATATCAGGCAACTTGATGTCCTTAAATAGCTTAGAGAAGCTCACCATCGAAGACGAATCCATTGAAGGAACACATAGACACTAGATACAGATGGAACTAAATTGTGCTCAAAAGCCTCCCCCAACCTCTTACCTATCCACTGCACACACGCCTAAATGCTACACCATCACTTTAGTCTTTGGTGTTTTCGATGTGTAATATTCTTTAACCTTGTCTTCTACTTTGCTGTTTCAGAGCAGATAAGTGTGTGATGGCCTCCTCAGGGTTTCAGGCTGATGTGCGAGCTTTGCAAAAGGTTTTGGAAGCCAGGCATCTGGTACGCTGTCAAGAATTTCTTATTTTCTTAAAAAGATTTTTCCATTGTCCTATAATTCTCCAAATATACATGGATATGTTCCATACCATCTTTCTCTTTTCTAAAAAATCTGTTGTCTCATTGTTGATGGGTGTCTAATGTAATCGGTCAAGGATGCCAATCATGTCATGGAGTGTAATCCGATTACTTGGATGATGATATTTCATTTTTCTTGCAAATTTCTAAGAGACACCACTTATGAATTATGATGTGCATTATACCTGCCTATCATTTAGTATACAACTACTACTGATTCTTTATCGTTATATTCATCATTATGAACACCATAATCTCAAATAGTTGGGGTGAGTGGGATAATTGCTATATTTATAGTGGGGGTTGGTGATATTAATTTATAGAGCTATTTTACACAAAATTCATGTTAAGAACATAGAGACAATTTTTTTTTCTGGATGTCATGCAACTTTCATAAGAAGGAACAAGATGACAATTCTAAAACCACCACCATCATATGTTATATTCACATGCATGTACCATATTATGAGACGACAATACGTTTCGTCATTTGCTATTGTTATGCCCATTGCATGATTGATATTGCAACAAATTTTAAACTGCATTCTTATTGAATTGATGTTTTTTTATGTTTTATTGTTTCCATAAAGATTTATCAACACCAGCACAACAAGCAGATGAGCTGCCCTGCGATGGCTCAGTTACTTTCAAACACATTATACTACAAACGTTTTTTCCCTTACTACTCTTTCAATGTCATCGGTGGCCTTGATAATGAAGGTAGCATCATATTACATGCCCAACTTTAGTTATTGGCGTACTATCTTTTTATATACTGCCCCTTCCGAGATAATATGAAGAACAAGTGTCATTCTATCAATATTTTGTTTTGTTTCTAGTTTCTACTTTCTAGATTTCCCTTAATAATTAATTATCTTCACAACTCCCAACACATTAAATGACCCTACTCTGTTTGCTTTATGTCCCAATTGGGTACGAACAATAAAAACTATTTTTTTCAACTTACAAAGGATATAGAGTGATGCTTTATACTATATCAATCTGTCTTGACACCCTTTTCATTTAAATATGGAAACGACATGTAAACCATCCATTGATACCAATCTTGCATCTTTTTATGGGTAAATTTCACAAATGGTATATGAACTTTGAACAGAATTTCACTTCGGTATACAAACTTCAAATCCTCTCACAAAAGTACATGAACTAACAACTTCCTTTCACTAAAAGTCCAATAGCAGGTCACCTGGGGCCAAACTATAATTTTATAAATTTAAAGTTTATGATTTTGACCCCTTGTTTTTTTTCTTTCTTTTAATTTACCCATCTTCTATTCCTCTTCAAATCCCCTCCCCAAATTTTATCTTTTCACTTCAGGACCCCAAACCCCCACCCTCACTGCACCCCACCCCCACCCACCCCCAGCCCCATTTTTTCTTTTTTTTTGTTCCAACCTCACCCACCCCACCCCCGTTCTTTTCTTTTTTCTTCTTTTTTTTTCCAACCCTCCCACACTACCATGTTCTTCTTCTTCTTCTTCTT